GCTGTGTGTCAGGCGTGCTGTGTCCCTGTGTTGCCTCTCTGAATGCTCCTCTCTGGTGTGCAGTGTTGTCACAGGCTACTAATTACAGCCATCAACTACGGATGCCTTTCTGCCCTGCAGCACTGCGCTCGCTCACGCTCTCTCTCTCTCTCTCTCTCTCTCTCTCTCTCTCTCTGTGGACATTAGCTCATCCTGATTCTCAGTATTAATGCAGGTATTAGTTTTCCACCCCAGCTGCTGTCTGGAGGTTCTGTATGGTGTGCAGGGGCCTCAGGGTTTTTGTGCACTAAGGGGAGGAAAAGTGTGTGTGTGTGTGTGTGTGTGTGTGTGTGGAAGGGTTCAAATCCTAATAATAACACCTCTTGACACAGGTTCGCTAATGAACCGGTCTCTCCAGAGAGGGTATGAATCTCCAGCAGCGTATTTTCTCATGGGAGTGTAAAAGTGCACATAGAGTACCCCTCTGGGAGTTTTATAATTCTGAGAATAAAAGGCAATTAAACAACTTAGACATGCGTATTTGTTTGCAAGCGCCGTTGTGAGTCAAAGGGCAACATTTTTGAGAACCGGGAATATTGAATAAATACATATTAATGTGCAGTCACCGTCGACTTTCATGGTAGCACCTGTGCACCTGCTCAGTGATGGAGTTACCCAACCAGCCAATGATGTGACGGCAGCACGATGCAGCGAGGCATGCGGATACAGGTCAAGAGCTTCAGGTAATGTTCACGTCAAGCATCAGAATGAAGAAAAAGTGGCATTTTGATTTGGAACGTGGTTTGGTTGGTACCAGATGGGCTGGTTTGAGTATTTCAGAAACTGCTGAATTCCTGGGGTTTGGTTCGAGCTGCCAGGGAATATATAATAATTCAAATAATCACTCTTTACAAATGTAGTGAGCAGAAAAGCATCTCGGTTTGCATGAAACATTGAGCCTGGCGATGGATGGGCTACAACAGCAGAAGACCACACTGGGTTCCACTCCTGTCAGCCAAGAACAGGTATCTCAGGCTAACATGGGCACCCAAACTGGACAGCTGAAGATCACCATGGTCTTTTTCTAATCCAGTTTGAGTGAGTCTGTGCTCATGCTGACCTCAGATTCCTGTTCTTGGCTGACAGGAGTGGAACCTGACCTGGTCTTCTCATGATGTAAACCCATCTACTTCGAGCTTTAATGTATTGTGCATTCTGAGATGTTTCTCTGCACACCATGGCTGTAAAGAGTGCTCATTTGAGTTACTACAGACTTCCTGTCAGCCCAAACCAGTCTGGTCCATTCTCCTCTGCGCGCTGTCTCTCTGTCTCTCTCTCTCTCTCTCTCTCTCTCTCTCTCCCCTGTCTGTCTCTCCCTGTCTCTCTCTCTCCCTGTCTGTCCCTGTCTGTCTCTCTCTCTGTCTCTCTCTCTCCCTCCCTCTCTCTCTCTCTCTCTCCCTGTCTCTCCCTCCCTGTCTCTCCCTCTCTCTCTCTCCCTCTCTCCCCCCTGTCTCTCTCTCTCTCCCCTCTGTCTGTCTCTCTCACTGTCTGTCTCTCTCACTGTCTGTCTCTCTCTCTCTCTCTCTCTCTCTCTCTCTCTCTCTCTCCCCCTCTCTCTCTCTCTCTCCCTGTCTGTCTCTCCCTGTCTCTCTCTCTCTCTCTCTCTGTCTGTCTGTCTCTCTCTCACTGTCTCTCTCTCTCTCTCTGTCTCCCTCTTTCTCTGTCTCCCTCTCTGTCTGTCTGCCTCTCTCTCTCCCTCCCTCTCTCTCTCTCTCTCCCTGTCTCTCTCTCTCTCCCTCTCTCCTGTCTCTCTCTCTTAATGCGCTTTGAATATTTATTTATTTATTGACTCACATATCACTTTTTATGTGTGTAATGTGATGTTTTGTTAAATAAAGGATTGTAAAAGTCAAAGTCTCCCTCCCTGTCTCTCCCTCTCTCCCTCCTGTCTCTCCCTCTCTCTCTCTCTCTCTCTCTCTCTCTCTCTCTCTCCTCTGTCTGTCTCTCTCTCTCTCACTCTCTCTCTCTCTCTCTGTCTGTCTGTCTCTCTCTCTCTTGTCTCTCTCTCTCTCTCCTCTCTCTCTCCCTGTCTCTCTCTCTCTCCCTGTCTGTCTCTCCCCTCTCTCTCTCTCTGTCTCTCTCTCTCTCTCTCTCTCTCTCTCTCTCTCTGTCTCTCCCTCCCTGTCTCTCTCTCTCTCCCTCCCTGTCTCTCCCCTCTCTCCCTGTCTCTCTCTCTCTCTCTCTCTCTCCCTGTCTCTCTCTCTCCTGTCTCTCTCTCTCTCTCCCTGTCTCTCTCTCTCTCTCTCTCTCCTGTCTCTCTCTCTCTCTCCCTGTCTCTCTCTCTCTCTCTCTTGTCTCTCTCTCTCTCTGTCTCTCTCTCCCTCTGTCTCTCTCTCTCTCTCTCCATGTCTCTCTCTCTCTCTCTCTCCTGCCTGTCTCTCCCTCCCTGTCTCTCTCTCTCCCCTCCCTGTCTCTCCTGTCTCTCTCTCTCTCTCTCTCTCTCTCTCTCTCTCTCTCTCTCTCTCTCTTTCCTGTCTCCCCTGTCTCTCTCTCTCTCTCTCTCTCTCTCTCTCCCCCGTTCTCTCTCTCTCTCCCTGTCTCTCTCTCTCTCTCCAGAGCCGCTGTTAAAGGTATCTAGCAAAGTCCTGGAGAAAAATTAGCTAGATAACTTTCACTAATATCACTAGCTATCCTTACATCCAAACAATGCAAGCTGTGCTGAGATTTAAAATAAAATGTCAAAGATCCCAAAACTTATTGTAGCAGCGCTGCTAATCTGTACATCTGCAACTAACATAACATTAACATGCGCTCATAAAACTAGCTTCACATGACTAGCATTTCACACAACTAGCATCAGATGTAGCATTATGGCTTTTTCCATCCCATACTCTAGGCAAAATTCCTGCAAATAGTCCTTGGTTGATTTCCTTCATCAGGGGTTCTTATCCTGGGTCAAAGACTGTCCAGTTCAGGATTTAATAGAAACAATAATAACAGATCTCATGATTGATTCAATGCACATTATTTAAGCAAGAACAACCCATCCCATAGTATTTTATTCCTTTTATACCTCAGCAACATATTTTCCAAGCTAATATTTTTTTTTTCCTAACCAATATAATAATAATTTTAAAAAAATCGATTTATATCTGTATTTATTGCTGTTGAACATCCGCGAAACTAGTACGTTACGTTACAACCGCCAAAAACAGTCGCTCCGTCTCTTTGAATTTTCCTCTCTGTTTAAATCAATAAAACAAACAAAAAATCGAATGCAAGGTCATTGAGAAACCAGGAAGTGTACACTCCTCTGACCTGAAGCTCTCAGAAGTGTAAAGTGACAGCTTTACCTCTGCCTGTTACAAAGCACTGACACTGGAGACTCCTTCCATAAATGCTACAGAAACACTTTTCTCCCAACAGAAAACTTCCCCGTACATGGAGCCTTCACCATACAAGTCCTTCTGTAATTTGTTACCATAGAAACGATAACATATCAGGAGGACGTTCATATAAACCTGTGAAATGAACCTTGTCTTAGAAGCAGAACTACTGTTAATGGAAATTTGACCAGCACTGTGCAGACTTTTGGACCCTGCTGCGTGTCCAGATCTCCAGTGTCTCTGCTGATCCCCGTAAGACAGACGTGGAAAGACGTACCTCACTCTGTGTGTGTGTGTGTTTTTGCGTACGTACCTACAGGCGTTTCTGCGTCACGTGTCGAGACACGTCACAACCTTCGAGTCCTACCTTTGTGTGCATGTGTATTTTCATCCATCTTAGGAGTACACAAAGGCAGTGTGTGTAAAAGAACGAGTGTCACTTTCATCCACTGGACTAATTACCCGTCATAATCGGAAGGGCAATTAGGCCTATTAATCCTCAGATCGCACACAGAGGTGTTTTGAAGATGGAATGACACATTAGCTGATGGTGGGAGACGGCAGTGGGCCTCTTGCGCACTTCTCATCTGTCCAATCTAATGTGGTGCGCTGACGTTTATTACACTGCTGTTAATTGGAAATCTGATGTAGTGCTATCTACCTTTTGGCCAACGTGTGGGTTAAACACAAGCGTATCAAGTTTGCCCTTATAACCTGGAAGTTACACCTGAGTGACACGCGCTGTTGACATGACGGCACGTGGGGCTGCGGCTTCCTTTCGGCAGTCGCGTACGAGTGCTCCAATACTGCAGGTGGCGCTATAAACATTTCAAGACGATTTCATCCATCTTGGAATCAATCATCTTGGGCGTGCTTCATTTGCTACGACCGATCACAGACTTGTTCACGTACATAAGGTTCGCGTACACTTACAACAAATGTAGTCTGTAGTAAGCTAACATAGCTTAATGAGATTCCATCTCACGCAAAATCTTTTCTGTAGATATTAATCTTAAATCTTGCTTCCAATAAAACTGACCCGATTTCTGAATGAACAGTTTTGCAGACTAGCACGGATAGATCCTCAGTTAGTGGTGGTACAGTTGCTGGGTAACACAGCTCCAGGGTTCCCGGTGCGATCCTGAGCGTAACGTCTGTGTGGAGTTTCACACGTTCTCCACATGTCCTTTTGGGTTTCCTCTGGGTACTCCAGTTTCCTCCCATCTACTAAAAACATGCCAGTTGGTGGATTTGCTTGGATAGATTGCCTCTAGGTTTGAATTTGTGTGTGAATGTGTGAGGGGTGCCTCATCTAGGGGAGTATTCCCACCTCACACCCAGGATCCTGAGATCCACCACCACCTGCTCTGACCCTTTCAGAGGCGGGGCCTACAGGCTGAACGAGAATCAGTCGAGTTAGTATAGAAAACCGATCCCAGATTTTCAAGATGGCTGCCGCGCATAATGCTACAGCGTTCACCTACACGGACGTTGTGTTCAAATGTTATAGCCAACAGGAAGTCCTAAACCACGTCAAGGATTATTATTTTATTTTTTTTTCAGTCAAAGATTTCATCTGAGTTTAGATCCATGGATGATCGAATCCTTTTTGGTTAAAAGGTTTGTGGCCATGGGGGTACGGTGGCTTAGCGCTTAGCGCGTTTGCCTCGGACCTCCAGGGACGCGGGTTCGAATCCCACCTCTACCCTTTGTGCTCGGAGTTTGCATGTTCTTCACGTGCAGTCCGTTGTAGATTGATCTGCATTTCCAAATTGTCCTTAGTGAGTGTGCGATTGTTTCCTGCGATGAGTTGGCCCTGTCCAGAGTGCCCCCTACTTTGTGCCCCGAGCTCCCTGGGATAGGCTCCAGGCTCCCCAGTGACCCTGTGTACGATAAGTGGTATAAATGGATGGATTTTTGGACAAACGTTAAGAGGACCAAGCCTCGTGAACACTAACGCTTTCCCGGCGTCAAACACAGCACTGTTAACACACGCCATATTCATGGCTTCACGAGGAAATAAAAAAGCCGCAGTTAGCTCGTTCTTTGACAGCTACGTGATTTGCCCAAACTTGTCCTTTCTGTTTCGTCAGCATGCTCCGCTTTCATTATGTCAGTCATAATAAACATTAATAATAAACATTAACTCTCCCTCTCGTTGCGAGGCCGCCCACGTGTACATCTTTCTCTCTCTCGGTCTATGACGTGCGCTGCTTCTCTCCTGGCAAACTCTATTTAGACAACCTGGTAAACATGCCCGTCTTCATTCATTATTCTCTTCCTCATCATGATCAAGCCTCTCAATTTAATGAGGCAAATAGATATTTCTGCAGTGATTGTCTCCCTCCAAGTATTAAGAATATTAAATGGACACATCTGTTTTTAATTAGGAGCTAAAGTCACCCCGGCGCTGCCTTCCATTTTAATGGACTTTCCGAGCGTGTTTATTTATTTATTTATTTATTTATTTATTTATTTACTCACTCTTCCAGGGATGTTCTCCGGCTCGAGGTGAACAGCAGCGTGGCTGCGGCTCTGGATAAACAACAGCGCATCGAATCTCGTCGACGCAGCCGTGCCGGACGGGTACTCGGTTTCCCATCATTGCTCATGCCTTCGCTGTTATGATGGCCGAAATGTAAGGTCAAAGGTTACCTTAAGGATGGAAAGAAAGCAAGCAAACGTCCAATCATTGCTTAGCGAGAAAGGTTATTGACATGCTTAGGACGCAGAAACACGGGCAGGCGTGGCAGCTTGGGGAAGTCGCAGAAAGGTTACTCTGTGAAGCGTGCTTTTGCAAACGTGGCATATGTAGAGGAGAGGAGTGCGGATCAAGATGGAGGGAGAGACAGAGAGAAGGACAGAGAGAGAGAGAGAGAGAGAGTTAACGCCAGAATTATTGGCACCCTTCAACAGAATAAATGAATGTTTTCCGCGTTGTTTTCATTTGAACGCATTTTTTACGCTTTATACGTAGTCCAAATTACTTTTATGGCCATAAATTTGTGGACACCTGCCAACCGATTTAGTTCCCCTTTGCCTCCACTAGTCAGGGAAGGCATCCCACTAGATTTTGAACTGTGGCTGTGGGGATTTGGGCTCATTCTGCCACAAGAGCGTGCGTGTACGGTGGAAAGGATATAAAGGAAGTCGGATAAGAACTTAAAAGTGACCGCTTTACAATTCCTCCGTTTCGTTCTAAAAGGCTGCGGTTTTCTTTGGATAGTTTAGGCTCCTTAGCTGCTCACAAGGGTTCTACCTGGCATCTAAATGTGTTCCCACAGACAGTCAGTCTCAGGAACCCTTGAGGGTTTTATTTTATATATAAATATATAATTACGATAGAGGGATGGTGAGAGAGGAAGAGAGAGTTAGTGAATGAGAGTCAGATAGAGAGTGAGTGTACTGGGAGAACAGACAGGTGTCAGACTCGTCTCTCTGTGGACCACAGAGATAATTAGACACAAACACTCAGGAGGGGCGCTGTGGAAACACACACACACACACACACACACACACAATCACACTCACACTTTCTCTGAGCTCCACCTGCCATCTAGTGGAGCAGAAAAGGGCTTGATCATCAAACGTGTGATTATCTTCTGCTGCCTGATTCTTCCACAAACACTTCAGGCAGAAATAAAATTGAAATCAGCAGTCGTTCTCTGGCTTGCTCTGGAGCAGGGGCGTCCAGTTTTTCTCCTGGAGGGCCCACTGTTCTGCACGGTTTAGCTCCTGACCCCAATTAAATCTGAAACAGCTAATCAAGGTCTTGCTAGGCATACTAAAAACTTCCAGGTCAGGTGTGGAGGAAAGTTGAAGCTAAAGTCTGCAGGACAGTGACCCTCCAGGACCGAGTGTGGACACCCCTGCTCTAGAGTCATGGTTGTGCCACAGTCCGTATACAGTACCATGGTTCCATATATATGACAAAAGGTGAATGATGACCGTGGCAAGCAGAAAAGCATCTCAGAACACACAACACTGCAAGCCTCGAGCCTCGATGGATGGGCAAAGAACAGGAATCTGAGGCTTCAATGGGCTCTGACCTGAAAGGGTTAACGCTCCTTAGAGACAGTCGCAGTTCCCTCAGACACCACCAGAGTGCGCTGCAAGATCGTTTAAAAGCAGATTGATCAAGTGTTTGTTATTTATTTATGTAACAGCACCCAATTATTACTGTCTGAAAGCAGTAGGGATGATTACATATAAACCATAGAGATGTCAATTAACTCTACATTTAAATAACAATCAGTTCAAAATGTATGTCAGCTAATTTATCTAAATAAAGTATCTTATATAATGGGTTTTTTTAATTATTGAGCTTGCACTTCAAAACAATGACAGTCATTCTGTCATATCTAAAAGATATATATATATATATATACATATATATATATATATACACACACGCACACACACACACACACACACACACACCTGGATATTTCCAGTCATTTTTCTTTCGGAGACCACAGTCAGTGTAGTGTGTTTGACCGGTTGATGTTGACGTAGTGGGCGAAAGGTTTTCCACAGGCTTTATCTTAATCCCTCGGCCAGGCCTGAAGAACATCTTTATTCGCTAATATTATAGACGAACATTTTTGAAGTAGCTTCAGTTTGTCCAGTCTTCATAAGACAAACATGATTTACAACACTGTGGCAGTAGAATGTAGCAACTGCTGGATTAGGGATTTGGCATGCTACAATTAAGCTAATGCAAAATAAATAAATAAATAAATGCTTTGCTCAGTGGTTTTTTTACTTCTACATCGTGTAGACTGGACTCCACACACACTCTCTGACTACATGCATGCATCTCAAGAACGATTGGACTGGAAATGGGTTTGTACTTCCTTCAACCCTCTTCCGAGTAGTCAAGAATGCCATTGTCCAAGAGTCCAAGACCTGGAATAGCTGAGATGGAGTCAAGACCGAGTCAAGTCAAGATCGAGACAGATTACCATCAGATCCTGTTTGAAACCAAGTCTTTACTTCAACTAGTTATCTTCATCTGTGCATTACGCCAATGACCGGCTGTTTTCTAAAGGAAGGAATTGCTTCTCGTTCGAGTCCCGTTGTGGCCCTGTGTGTGTGGAGTTTGCATGTTCTCCCCGTGCTGCCGGGGTTTCCTCCTGGTACTCCGGTTTCCTCCCCCAGTCCAAAGACATGCATGGTAGGCTGATTGACGTGTCTAAAGTGTCCGTAAAGTATGTGTGATTGTGCCCTGCGATGGACTGGCACCCTGTCCAGGGTGTACCCCGACTAGTGCCCGATGCTCCCTGGGATAGACTCCAGGTTCCCCCGTGACCCTGAAAAGGAGTAAAAGTAGAAGATGGATCAATGGAATTGCTTCTCATCAAAGAAACTCAAGGTCAACACCAATACCTTATTTAGCAATAAGTCCAAGTCAATACAGAAAGCATGGACAGTCCTACAGCTTTACTTCCAAGATTCAACTCATTGTTGACTTGTATTGAGAACTTTTTTTGTTGCAAAGCTTCAACTGAATAGGTTCCAATTAAAACCTTTTTTTTTTCAATAAATGCTCCGTTTTGAGTCTTTATTACTCCACGGGTGAAAGCTAAATTAGAAATCACTTTGGCTGAACAGTTCTAGTTTGAATCGACTAACTAACTAACCGACTCTCTGAGAAATGGCGAAGTCGAAGTTGTTTGCGCCTTCGTTATAGCTTCAGAGACAGAAAATCAAGAAGGTTTGTCTGTGGCTCGACTGTATGGAACCACCGTTAAATTGGGTCACATCATGTACTGGTGAACAGCCGGAAAATACATCCCGTTACATTGCATCGTTGGATTCGAAACTCTTTCGCTTTGCTCATTAACAAGACGGGCTTTTCTCCATCGCTTTGTCCTTCATTTTGGTTGTTTTTCTTGCTTCCCAGTTGACAAAAAGGTCCCCAGGACGTTCCCCCTAAATGGCCTCTACGAACGTCCCCAAAACGTCCACGTCTAGGGTCCCCCAGACGTCCTAAGTACGTCCAAGGGGACATTCACAGGACGTCCAGCGGCCATTCGGGACACTTAGGGGACTTTCGCTGAAATGAACACATTCAGTAGTGTTATGATTCGATTTCCTCTGACGTCCTCGGAACGTCCGCTCACCGCCGACTGTTATAGACCGGACCCAAGAGGACGTTCGTAACATCCGGGGGACATCCCCTGTTTGCTGGGTCGCCCCATAAACCTCCAAACTTGGCTGGAAAAAAATAAATAAATGCATACATTCAAAAAACAAACAAAAAAAAAACTAGACTTGTGCTTTTCTGAAAACTTTTTCAGCGCTCCTCAGAGACCGAAAAACCGGCAGGAGGCAGTGCTTTTTGAAAACGCCTCCATTCGCCCACCTTGCAGCTGCTTCCTGTAGGATTACACGTACAACTGGCAGTTGAGAAAAAAAACAAACTCAAAGTGTGAAAACAGCATTTGTGGTTCTAAAACGAAACCCACCCTAACCCTAACCCTTTTTTATTCTGCCACATAATCAGTCCATGTTAGTACTCTTTAAACCAGGAGACCCACGTGTAGCCTATAGACGTACGATACAGGCCTCATCTTCAAAAGGTCTTGTGGTCACTGACGAACACAATCCAGCGGAGCCCAGCACGCTCACGCCTGAGCGGTGACTCAGAGCCGATTTTCAAGAAACAGAGGGTTGACCCTTCGCGCGTAAACATTTACTGCTCTC